CAACCCCGCAGCTCAGGCAGCCCGCGGCGGCGGCGGCGGCAGCAGCGAGCAGCAGCAGCAGGCGGGCTCCGGCGCGCCGCACACGCCACAGACCCCGGGCCAGCCGGGAGCGCCCGCCACCCCCGGCACGGCGGGGGACAAGGGCCAGGGCCCGCCCGGCTCGGGCCAGAGCCAGCAGCACATCGAGTGCGTGGTGTGCGGGGACAAGTCCAGCGGCAAGCACTATGGCCAATTCACCTGCGAGGGCTGCAAAAGTTTCTTCAAGAGGAGCGTCCGCAGGAACTTAACTTACACATGCCGTGCCAACAGGAACTGTCCCATCGACCAGCACCACCGCAACCAGTGCCAATACTGCCGCCTCAAGAAGTGCCTCAAAGTGGGCATGAGGCGGGAAGGTGAATATTTCTTCTCTGCTTCTGTCCCCGCGCTTCGCCCGCCTCCCTGCCTCTCTTTCTTTCTCTCTCGCCCGGGTGGCTGCTGTGTGGGGCTGGGGCTCCAGCGGTCCCAGCCGGTCCTGCTTCCCCTATCCTCGCTGCCATCCTCCTCCAGCACCCCCCCCCTCCAGCTCGCTGCCGCTGCCTCCCCCTCCCGGCCTGCGCTCCTCTCCCCGGCTCCTCCACCCCGCCCGCTGCCTGCTCAGGATTGTGTCCCTGGGATCGTGAGCTGTGGCTTAAAATCCCCTCCCTTCCTCTGTTGGATGTGCTCTGTGTGTGTGTCTTTCCCGCCTGTGCGTGAGGATGCTTGGGGCTGTGCTGGCATGAACTTGGGCAGGGGTGCTTATTTCTCCCAGAAAACTGTTTCTGTGTTTTTCCATTCCACTTCCCCTCCACCTCTTCATAACCCTTTATTTATAATGGGAGAGGGCTGGGGGCTGGAGGACCCTGGACCATAGATTCATTGCTGCCATCATCCCTTTGGAAGCTTAGCTTGGAAAAAGAAGAGTGAGATTTATTGCACTTGTAGGTCTAATTAGGGGGGAAGGGGGGTTTCTGGACTGTTCACTGGTTCCCTGTCCTCTTCAGGGAGCTGGGGCCGCCTCCCCCAGAGCTGTGGCCTTGTTTTCACCCCTCTACTTTGAAAGGAAAGTTTGTGACTGAACCCTGCTTTCGTAGTAGTGTCATTTTTTTAAAGCATGATACCCGTTTTATTTCTTCATCAAACTCCACCCTCTGCTTAAATACTGCATACAAATTACAATTTACAACGGGCGTTTACTGATCCTTCTGATTTGGCCATAATGCATAGACTGCAGCTGGCTTGAGCTTCTACGTCATTTAATCCCTGTGTTGTATGCGGTGTTTTTTTTAACACAACTTTTGATGTTGTATTTGGATATACTTCATGTTCATGTGGCAAGAGATGGAGCACTTTTCTTATAAATATATTTAGCCGTTTATAGTTAAAGTTTATCTCCTGACTATCATTAAAGATATGTCTTATAGTCAAATTAGTGAACCAGTCGATTTTGCAGAATGTAGATTACTCCTTTTTGTAATTGACTTTAAAATTATGTTTTGTATGCCACAAGAAAAGAAATTGAATTCCTTCAGATCTCAGAGAAGGCAAATATGACGACTTCATTTCTAGCTCCAGGGAGATTTTGTAGGCATCTGGAAAAAAAAAAGAAAGAAAACTTTATTGTGTTCTCATTTAATTGAAAAATAACTGCCAAGTTCAAAACTATAATTAGAAAAAGTATTCTAACCATTGTGTCTCAAGAATGCAAATTGCACTGGAGCTTGCATTGGAATTAGAACCAAAGCAAACTTAAGAAAATAGTGTAGGACCTGAAATAAGACAGCTCTGTGGACATGAGCATATCTGTACTAATTTGTTGGGGGGAAGAGTTCAGTAGCCCTAACTTTTCCTAAAGTTGTCTTTGTTTACATGGTAATTTAAAATGCTGGCACTATCGAAGTAAAACATACACATTTAAAAAAAAAAAAACTTTGGTCAGCTTTAAGAACTCAAAGCATGCTTACGTTTTGCATTCAGATGGTTAATGAATCCAGTGTTTTTGCAGTTGCAAGCTCGTGCATTCACTGGGCAAAAGCTGGCTGCAGGTTGCAGTGGCACCGCGCAGGACAGACATTAATTTTATTTCCCACTTTTTTCAATAATGTTTGGCTACTGTAAGTTCAACTTTTTTTTTCTTGAAATCTTTCAATTTTCTGTTGCTTTAAATAGTGAGAACTTTGTATGGGGCGACCAGGAAGAGGGAGGAAGGGAGGGATACAGGGTGCTTGCTCTCTACTCAGAAGTTGTAAATGGTCAGTAAGATGTGCAACTTGTATCTCTTTTAAAGATAATTCTGCAGCACTTTTAGAGATTATGGAGCTATTTTATGCCTTAAATGAATGTTTGTAAATGAAGAGGCCGCTTGGGCATTTGCTTCAAACCATACAGTCTCTCTCTCTCTCTCTCTCTCTCTCTCTCTCTCTCTCTCTCTCTCTCTCCTTTAACTCTAATTTGTTTCATTCTGGATAGGTGACTGGGGTTTCATTTATCTGTGTGTTGTTCGGTAGTAGCTGAGCGGTTGGGTGGAACTTTCTTGGCTATTCTGAGCTGTGGGCCCTGAAATCAGGCCTAGCTCTTCCCAGGCTGAAAAAGCCAGGGGTGCAGGCTATGGCTGGACACACCAAGCCGCTGGAGGTAGAGGGCTTTACCCAAGATCCCTTTTCAGTGTGGTTTGTGAGTGAGAGCCAGCGGGATATGAGTGACTGGGGCAGGCAAGAACTGCATTGTGTCGGGTGCACTGCAGCTCGGCAATGTTCGGAAGCCCCCTGGATGCACATTGCCTCTTTTCTCTCTTTCTTTTTGTCAGCGGTTCAGCGAGGAAGAATGCCTCCAACCCAGCCCAATCCAGGCCAGTACGCACTCACCAACGGGGACCCCCTCAATGGCCACTGCTACCTGTCCGGCTACATCTCGCTGCTGCTGCGCGCAGAGCCCTACCCCACGTCGCGCTATGGCAGCCAGTGCATGCAGCCCAACAACATCATGGGCATCGAGAACATCTGCGAGCTGGCTGCGCGCCTGCTCTTCAGCGCCGTCGAGTGGGCCCGCAACATCCCCTTCTTCCCGGATCTGCAGATCACCGACCAGGTGTCCCTGCTACGCCTCACCTGGAGCGAGCTGTTCGTGCTCAACGCTGCCCAGTGCTCCATGCCCCTGCACGTGGCGCCGCTGCTGGCAGCCGCCGGCCTGCACGCCTCTCCCATGTCAGCGGACCGCGTCGTGGCCTTCATGGACCACATCCGCATCTTTCAGGAACAGGTGGAGAAGCTCAAGGCGCTGCACGTCGACTCTGCGGAGTACAGCTGCCTCAAAGCCATCGTGCTGTTCACGTCAGGTGAGGCTACGGTCACGGGGAGGGCAGGCCGCGCCGGGAGGCCGCATGGGCATCGCGCCGCGGGAGCCTGGTATCCCGCACCTCCCGCGCGGCCACTGTCGCTGTGTGAGGCTGGGCCTTCCTCGGACTTTGGGCCTGGCCGGGGCCGCAGGACGCCGTGGGTCGCGCCGCTGCCATCTTGGGAGCGCAGCAGTGCGGGAGGCGCGGGTGCCTTGCCTGATGGCCTGGACCCCTTCGCGGCCGGCGACAGAGGCGACTGTGCGTCAGGGGAGAGGGGAGAGGCAGTACTGTGGATCGTCTGGCTGCTTGTGTGTGCAGGGCCTCGGACTTTGGGCCTGGCCGGGGCCGCAGGACGCCGTGGGTCGCGCCGCTGCCATCTTGGGAGCGCAGCAGTGCGGGAGGCGCGGGTGCCTTGCCTGATGGCCTGGACCCCTTCGCGGCCGGCGACAGAGGCGACTGTGCGTCAGGGGAGAGGGGAGAGGCAGTACTGTGGATCGTCTGGCTGCTTGTGTGTGCAGGGAGTTGTGTGTGTGTGTGTGTGTGTGTGTG